GTGTTACAAGCTCTTGGTGCATAAAGAAGATCCCTAAAGTTGCAAAGACTAAAGTCTCAAACCCAAAGAGATATTCTTTATAAAAATTAAGACTGGTCCACGCCCTCTTAAAACGCCTCGTGTAAACACGCCCCCACATGTCTGCGTCACTGTGTGGGAAGATTTGCATAACACCGCCCAAATGTTCACGCAAAGAAATAAGGCTTAACTTTTATTCTCGCTGTAGTATTGTTGTTTCCGCCGCTGCCATGTCGTGGAGACTCTGTGTGTTTTGTTGTGAAAGCGAAACTACTTTGTTTGGCCTTCCAAAAGAGGACAATATCCGCTTCGTCATGCCTAGAGCTGATCCGTGCTGGTCGCTGAGGAAATACATCAACTTCGCGCTCTGGATCGCCGGATCGGCTTTCACTGTGGGTCGTCACATGTGGTTGCTGCAAGCCCGCCGGCCGCGCTGTTCTCAAGCCCGCCCGCCACCGCTCACTCGTTGTGAAAGTGAAACTACTTTGTTTGGCCTTCCAAAAGAGGACACAACTAGAAATCAGTGGTTAAGTTGTATTTACAGCACTGGTCCAGAACAGTTCAACCATTTGCCACTGACGATTCAAACGCGAGTTTTGAGCAGTGTAGAGTAGCACTTGTTGTTTGTCGTTTCTCCAGACATGGTTTTGTTTACGCAGCGCGATATGCAACGCAACGCGTAAAAAGACAGTATAAGTCATTATAATCAGTAATTATGTCTCCACTGGATGCAACAAATGCCTCGTTTGTAATGGGTTTTATTGGTGTTGTCTAATCGCGCTGGGAAACGGCATCACAGTATTGTAAGGGGCGTAACATTTCCGTCACACGCTTGAGGTATTCGGCCAATCACAACACACTGGATAGCTGGCCAATCAGAGCACACATCGCTTTTCAGACCGATGAGCTTTGTAAAAATCGACACGTTTCAGAAAGGCAGGGCATAGAGGAGAAACAATAATGTACATTATGTGGAAAATAATGTGTTTTTTGAACCTTAAACCGCATAAACACATTGCATTACACCAAATACACAACATAATGTTCTTTTTAGCAACGTCATATGACCCCTTTAATTTGTGTTCCAAATATGAACGGAGGCTTATTAGAATAATTTCTGAAAGACCATGTGACACTCAAGACTTTGCAATCACAGGAATAGATTGCATTTTAAAATATATTAAAATAGAAAAATTGATTTTTAAGGTTTTTTATTTTCCCATGGAACACAAAATATTAATGGAGCACCTGGATGACCTACTACATTTGCAGCATACAATAGAGCACATTCACAGTCAAGCTCTCTGGATCAGGTTTATAACTTCCTTGTTTAAACAGACTGGTTCAGAAAACAACTAGATAACAAATGCAAAAAAAAGAAAACCTCTTGAAAAGTTTCCCTTATACTTTACTAATTTTCAATGTCCTCTGTACTTTGTATTTCACACCAATTACGAAGACCGTCTCAGCTTTTATTGACCTGCTGTGACATCCACAACAGAATCAAACTAAGTAGCATTTCAAACTCCTCTTTATTCTTAGAGCAAACTGTAATAAGTGTCCCACAGGCTGTGTCTTCTTGAGTCTGTGCATGTGGTATTGACCCCTAATGATGCAGGTTATGCAGCACTTGCGGTGCCTAACTGGAGGTTTGCTCTTCAGGGAGCGAAGCTGCTTTCCAAGTACGCAGAAATGAGAAAAGTGAAACTGAGCACTCACGCTCATGCATATTTCAAAACAGACGGTCCCTTAGAGAGAACCAGAGAGAAAGAGACAGACTACTACACTCCTCCCTCTTTCTCTCATGTTGCCAGGATACAGTTGAGTCACACACTCATACACACATGTACATGTGTATACATGAAAATACAGAGTTTTGTACAGTGTATTTCTTTTCATTGTGGAACTGTTATTTAATACTGTTATATAAAGTATGTGCTTCATAATCTTGATTGATTTAGTGTTTTGTCTTAAAGCCGATGTACATCATTTCTACCCCAGGAGTGTTATTGAATGAAATTGCTAAATTGTTATTTTTCAAACAGGTTATTTTGAACACTCCCACCATCTTATTTTAAACACTCTCCCACCATCTTCTATTGGTTGGTCTAGCATATAGTCCCGCGGCTCCCGCCCCAATCTCACACCATTGGTTGAGCCACTGTTGCTGTGTTGGGACAAATAGAGTAATGCTTTGGTACACTAAAAAATATCCCATTAAATTTACAATAAAAAAACCAACAGCAGTGGTTGCCATGTTTCAAGTAGTACAGAATGGCACGGTGCTTGTATATTTTACAACTTTTAAGCATATATATTTTTAATTAAGGGATATAATGTTAATAAACCGATCTACTTGAACTACCAAAATTTGCCCTTGTCTTAAAATGTATTATTATGGTGCTTGCCAGTACAGGTACACTCTTAAAAATAAGGCTTCCAAAAAGTTTTTGTTTCCCCAAAGGACCTTTCATTGAACAGTTTTTAAAAATAACAATTATTTTCCCTAATGTGTAGAAAATTTTAATAATCTGAAGGACCTTTTTCCACTATAAAGAACCTTTTGTCCAATGGAAAGGCTCCATGGATGTTAAAGGTTCTTCATGGAACCATCAAAGAGACAATAGATAAACAGCCACACCTACCTAAAACGGCTCGTTCCATCACGCTCCCACATATCTATGTCACTATGTGGGAAGATTTGCATAACACCGCACAAATATTCACGCAAAGAAAGAAGGCATTACTTTTTTTCTCGCTGTAGTATTGTTGTTGCCATGTGTTTGGTTGTGAAAGCGAAACTACTTTGTTTGGCCTTCCAAAAGAGGACGATATCCGCTTCGTCATGCCTAGAGCTGATCCGTGCTGGTCGCTGAGGAAATACATCAACTTCGTGCTGTGGATCGCCAGATCGGCTTTCACCGTGGACGAAGCAGAGTCCAGCCCGGGGTCGTCACATGTGGTTGCCGCAAGCCCACCCGCCCGCCGCCGCTCACTCTAGCCGCCGGCCTCCGCTCACTCAAGGCCGCTGTGTGTTTCACAAAAGAGGACACAACTAGAAATCAGTGGTTAAGTTGTATTTACAACACTGTTCCAGAACAGTTCAACCCAAATATTCAGATGTGTGCAGCACATTTTATGGAGGACTGTTTCCTGATCCTGGTAGAGTAGACTACAATGCCGGCTGTTCTGACTCACAGACTGGAAGTACGTTTTTCATATTTAAAGGATTTGCCACTGATGATTTAAACGCGAGTTTTGAGCAGTGTAGAGTAGCGCTTGTTTGTCATTTCTCCGATCACAAATGCAGACATGGTTTTATGTTTACATGGCGCGATGCAACGCAAGCCAGTATAGATCATTATAATCCATAATTATGTCCCCAGTGGATGCAACAAATGCCTCGTTTATAATGGGTTTTAATGTTTTTGTCTCGTCGCTCCGGGATACGGCATCACAATATGTTAAGGGGTGTAACATTTCCGTCACACGCTTGAGGTATTCGGCCAATCACAACACACTGGATAGCTGGCCAATCAGAGCACACCTCGCTTTTTCAGACCGATGAGCTTTGTAAAAGTCGACGCGTTTCAGAAAGGCGGGGCATAGAGGAGAAACAATAATGTACAGTATGTGGAAAATAATGTGTTTTTTTAACCTTAAACCGCATAAACACAATTCATTACACCAAATACACAAAATAATGTTCTTTTTAGCAACATCATATGACCCCTTTAAGCATGTAGCACAATAGACAATGTCACATGATAAATTGTACTGTCCATAAAGCATGGCCAATACTCATATATGATGATGCAGGGTCATGTACACAAAGACAAAACACCATCAGAGTGATAAAAACGACACTAAAACATCCACAAATTAACATGAAATGCAGACACAAAACACACCATTGTAAATTTCTGATGACAAAAATTATTTTTTTTGATTTTACAAAATTTACTGTAAATTATATGGTAGTTCATAGTTTTTACTCTAAACCCATACATTTTGCAGTATTTTACAGTAAAATTACATAATGTGATGTAAAGCTATTTACAATTTTTCACTGTATATGAGATGATAATTTACCGTTAACCAATGAACAGGTTTTTACTGCATTTTTGCAGCAGCCGTTGTGTTGTGTTTATTTTATTTTTTTTAAATGATGGTGCCGCAGAGCCAGCGTGTACACCTTACTTTAACAAAAGGTTAAAGTAATTGAAAAGTTTCATTGTAATCGTTTCTGTGCTGGGATAGAGAAAATATTTAGACATCTGAAAATGACACTTTAGAATTTAAGCATAAAAATGTGCAAAGAGGTTTATGTGATCTCATACCAAATGCAAATATTTATGTTTTCATCCTAAATTAACCTCCTCGAATTTGTATGTGATAATAAGATATGACTAAGTTTGACTTTGAGGTTGGATGTCAGGTGGTTTTCCTGTAGTTACAGTCTGTTCTTCATTGTGTTTACATTGGGCTCAACGAAAGCTTCTTTTGACTGCTAATGTAACCTTTTACTCATGATGGAGACCTTGCATCCTGTTTTTGGTCTAGCTTATCAGGTGTTCACTGTTAGCCTTTCTCTTTCTCTCTCGTTTTCTCTTTCTATCTCTGGGAGTTGTCATGGTGACAGTGATGCAGACACCCGGGAACAGCCTGGCTGTCATCTTGGATCTGTCAGTGTGTGTTTGTGTGTTTGTGCGAAAAGACTAGACTGTGCTCATTTCAGAGAGAAAATTATGTAATGTTCTCTGTAAAAACAGAGAGAGAGCAGGGAGAGAGTGAGCGCTAGAGGCTTTTTTCTGAATCTCTTACTCATAATTATAAAGCAAGTGGCCGCTGTAGAGCTTATACAGTCATTTGTAGCATTAGGAAGTGGCCTGTGTTGTTTGTGGTTTCAGTCAGGTAGCATTTGAAAAATATTTTTTACATAACATTTGCTTAAAATTGTCAAATGTAAGTACTAAACATCTAAAACTCTCTCTTGGTCTCTCTCTCTCTGTCTTAAATGTTAATTTAGGGGTGGGCAGTAGTAAGCAGAGGCCATGTGACGTGTGTGGGGTTGTGTGTGTGCGTAGGAGGGGGTGTGCTATTGGATAACACTGTCTAAAAATACTTGGCTAATCTGCAAACATGAGGCTAAAAATACACCCTCGAATAGCTTACGCTCTCACAAGTGTAATGAGGGCGGGCCATCCTGAAGGAAAGAGGGGGAGAAAGAGGTAGGGTGGGCAGGAAGTAGTTAGTCAGAGCCGAAATGGGGAGAGCTGCTTATTTGTTTTATTTTATTTTATTTCCATTCAAATACATACTTTCTATGTATCTGTATTTGTTCTGTACAGTTTTTTGAGTGCTGGGTCTGTTTAAGCATATAGTATGTGGTTTTGAAGTTAATTAATAGTAATATTTTAGGCTAAAATGTATATTGGGTAGGAGTATTTATTTGCCTGCTGTACGTTTTGCCTAAATAATTATACAAATATAAATGTATTTATTAGAACTAGTTTATTTTAATGTAATTTTTTTTTATTCTATCTATCTATATATCTATCTATCTATCTATCTATCTGGGGTGTAACAAAATTCACGGTTCGGTATGTTCGGTACAGGGGTAATTGGTTACGTCGCAAATAATGTTGGAAATATTTCTGTTTTAAACCATGAATGCGAGCCAATGGATATCACATAAGCAACGTGCAAACTTTGCACAAGAATGTCTTAATCTCAATTCACTGTTCAGAAAGTGAAAGTAAAAACGTAATGATGGAGCTTTTGGTAGTGCTGGGCGGTATACCGGTTCATACCGAATACCGGTGTTTATTTTTGTTATGATATGAATTTTTAAAATACCGCAATACCGGTGTATGTCACTTAAACAACGTTCGGAACG